TTTCCAGAGCACAAGAAATTACTTATTGAGCTAAAAAAAATACTTCCAACTGCTTTTGAAATTTACATAATTTTATGCTAATCATATTATTTATTATATTATAATTAAATTTCACATTTCTACTTTTCCCTGACCTGTGTCAACCCAGAACAAATTTTATTTTTATCCAATCATATTTGTGCCAAACAAAAAAAGTATATACACTGCTGTTAAAATATTTAATTTTTAATGTATTCTTTATACGATTATAATATAAAATTATTTTTATTATTGCATAATCATCATCATCATCATCATCACCATCATAATTACTAAATATTTATTAAAATTCTCCACTGACTAAAATATACATATATTATATTTCGTAATTAAAATTTCACGATTTTCTAACGAGAGAATACATATAATTATTATTTTAATTGGAATATCAAGTGTTTGATTATATATTGATCAAGTGCATGAAGATGACAAATTGATAAAACAAGAAACCATAATAATTATATACATCATAATAAAACATTGAGTTAAATAATTAATAATTCTTCAATGTGAGAATGAATATAACAGTAATCACAATTTTTTATTAGTTAATAAATCCTGCTACTACAAAAGGATGGGTAATAAAGTGACACGCTATGACGTCATAGGACAGAGCATTAAACATTCTCGGCAATCTAATTTTCAAACTATACAAGGGAAGATGTCAAAATTACGATTTAATTAATCCTTTCACGTCCAAATGATTCATTTCTAATTTATATATGCTCTTATTCTTTATACATATATATATATATATAACCTAAAATATATATATTTAAAAATCATTTCAACAATATGGGATGAAAGGTTTATTATTAAATTTTGTAAAAATAAATCACATCTTGAAAGTCTGAAGCAATGTATAATTATAAATAAAAAAATTAAAGTTTGAAACAAAATCTGTAAATAATACAAATAAAAATGAAACAACATTAATAAACAATAATATATTAAATAATGAAATAAATTTATTAAAAATGAATAAATTCGAGATAAATAAATAAAGGAATGTAATTGCATTTTTTAAATTTATAAATTATATGCAAATTAAAGGATTCTTTTTTATCGTTTTATGTTGGAACACCTTCAATTCCAGCATCTTTGCGTTTAAAATAAGATTGCAGAGAAGTTTTTAATGTCTCGAACAATGACGTCAGAATGTGTTACATGCAAGCATAAATTTTTCAGTTTATTACTATTGATAATCTTATAATTCCTCTGATACAAATCTTTTTTAAAAATTTTAATTAAGTACACTAATAATAATAATAACAATAATAATAATAATTATTATTATTATATAATATATAACTTTTATATTATAAAAAAATTTTAAAAAAAAATTTATTTATTATTATTTTTTATTTCTTATTTCTTATTATAATAATAAATAAAATTAATATATATGACTTTTATATAATAATTATTATAATATAATAAAGGGTCATTCACAAACTACGTCACGCTTTTTTGGACTGATTTTTACCCCTTCCCCCCACTTCGTCACATTTTTTTTACATCCAAAAAAATTTTTTTTCCACACTTCATCACACACAACTTGACACCCCCCCCCCCACCCCTAGGAGTGTGACGTAGTTTGTGAACGACCAGTAATAGTAATAAATAATAATAACAATTATAATAATAAATAAATATTTATAAATACATAATATTATTATTATTATTATTGAAGTCAATAGTTGTAATGAATAATTATATTTGTAATAAAATTTGTAATTGGAAATTTGTCATCAATTTGTGATAAAAATAACAAAAGAAATAAAAAATATAAAAAGCAATAAAATTAACGTAATAAAAATAAAAAATATAAATGAAGATAATAATGAAAATAATAAAAAAAATAATAATAATAATTAGTAATAATAATAAAATAGTGATAATAAGAAATAGTAGTAATAAAAATATTAATACTAATAAAAACCCAATAATCGTATTCTAAACTATTTTCACCCTATTTTTAAGAAACAGATTATTATTATTTTAAACTTTGACAAAAATTAATAATAATTAATCAGTAAAATTATAAATTTTTCAATGCCGAAAAATAAATTCTTAATACTTCGATCAAATAATTTCGCTTTTTCAATATCATCAATTCCATTCCGATATATATTTTTAATCCTAATAAATAATTTCTTAATTAAATTTACGTTAAAAGTGCTTTCAAAAAAAAAAAAAAAAAAAAAAAAAAATTGGAACTGAGATTATAAATATTTATCAGAATCATTTTTTAAATTAGCAAATGGAGCATTAAAATTGAATAAATTGATTTTTTAAAGTAATGAATATTAATAATTCTCCTCACTTGCTAGACAGTATAATGGATTTTAATAAATACTACCCAAAAAAAAGAAAAAACTTACATTTAGGTATTTCAAACAAAATCAATTCAAAATATTCTTTATTTCTTATTCTTCATTTTTATTATTCAAATGATTAAAATTAATAAAAATAATAAAAATAATAAAAATAATAAAAATAATAAAAATAATAAAAATAAAGTAAAATAATAATAAATGATAATATTTAAATAATAATAATTGTCCTGAATAAAAAGAGTGTTTTTAAATAAATTATCACCACGTATTACAAACGAACAAATTTCCAAATCGAAAAAAAGTAAAAAAAGTTGATTGAAATTAAAGAAATTATTCTTCGACTCCATTATGATGTCTGAAACTTTTTTTTTTTTATTTTAAAGAAACTTTTCTCCGCATTCAAAAGAAAACTGTTCTTCATTCTGAATAAAAGAGAAATTTTTTTGTTAATTTTATTGACATAAAGAAACAATTCACTGATTGTGAATGAATAACAAAGAGCGAGAAATTGACTTCAAATGCTATATATACAGTCGTTATACATAAAACAGAAAACGACGGAAGAATTTTTAAAAATGTTTCTTAATAAAAATTTATTATATTATTAGCATTATTCTATAATAGTTTTAATACTAATAAAAAAGAAGATTAAATATAAAATGACAAAAACACTGAGATTTCGTAAGAAGAATATATATATAGAAGAATATTAAAAAATATATGGATAATATTAGAAAATATGGACAATATTAAAAAATCCAGATAACATCACAGTTTTTCTAAGGATATCAAAATTGAGACAAAAAAAGTAGCAAAATTGTTGCAACGCAACAATTTTGCTACATTTTTTGTCTCAATTTGTTGCGATGCAATAATTTTTATGTATTTTTTGTGTCAATTTATAACCTTAGAATAAAAACTCTGATAAAAGTATAGATAATGTTAAATATAGATAATGTTAAAAGATACAGATAATATTTAAAAAGTACAGCTATTAAAAAATATCTGTTAAAAAATGCATTGCAACAAATTTGATACGTTTTTTTGTCTCAATTTGTTATTATTAGAAACACTATATATGTGCGCAGAATATTAAAAAATAAAGATAGTATTTAAAAATGCAGATAGATATTTTTAAAATATCTAAAAATATAAAGTGAATATTAAAAATATACTAAGAATCTTAAAAAGTACAGATAATATTAAAAAAATAAAGACAACAATATTAAAAAATATTGATAAGAATATTGAAAAATATTAATAAGAATATTAAAAAATATCGATAAGAATATTAAAAAATATCTATATAAGTAGTTATATAAAAGTATTGAGAAAAGTATTAAAAGTAGAATATTGAAAAACAGATAGAACTATATACAATATTCATAAAAATATTAAAATATACCATTATCATATTATAACAGATAAAAATACAGAAAATTATGAAATAACAAGTTAACGAAAATACTCATCTCTGCTTTAATAATATTGATCTCGTAATACAGCAATTATTAAAAAAATATCAGGAAAACATTTTCTTCCTCTATATCATTCCTCGTGTATAAAATTGACTTTTAAAAGGTGTTAAGACGATTTCGATATTCCGTGACTGAGATATTGAAGAAAAATATAAAAGGGGAAGTATTAAACTACAACTGACGTATCAAGAAGGTACAAGATAAAATATATAATTGGCATTCAGGGGAAGTATATCCTTGCGTGCACAATGCATGCTAAGATGCTTAGATACGAATATAAAGAAGAATAAAAAAAGATAATACAAAAAATTTTTGTGCGTAAAAGAGAGCTACTTTCTATAAAAAAGAAAATTCCTTTTTTCTGCAAAAGCAAAAGTGGAGAAAATCCTGAAACCAAATAATTGCACAGTGTTTTCAAGGCATCGCGATGGAAATAAATAGAAAGAAATTGAAATAAAAAGAAAGAAATTGAAATGAATAGAAAGAAATTGAAATCAACAGAAAGAAATTGAAATCAACAGAAAGAAATTGAAATCAACAGCAAGAAATTAAAATGAATGGAAAAAATTGAAATGAACAGAAAGAAATTAAAAATTAATAGAAAATAAAAACTTTCGAAAAAATCTAAAAGAACAGAAAGCCGGCGTAAGCTTATTAGTGAGAGAATCGTCGCAAGTGTTTTTTCAAAGAAACAAGTTTATACCGCAAGTTTTATATGAGTGTGCGAAAAAAAATATCCCAGAAGTGAATTTTTTTCTTTCGCGCGCGATTATTAGAAATGACTATAATATAGCGGCATTCACAAACAGATGAAGAAGAAGAAGAAGAAAAAAAGACAATATCTTGAAGAGAAGAGAACTTGAAAGACGATGAGCGCTGGTCATTCCGAAACAGGGTTTAGTGGTCAATCAATCCACATCTAAGAATATAAGAGCTAGCCAAACTGTCAATACGCCCCATTTTCATCAGTTGTGAGAAGATTGGCTTCATCTAATTGATTCCAAATATATACAGGTTGTTGTAGTCAAGAACAAATTCGATAATGCCCATCAAGTGCGGAAATTGAATCACGATGATGATGGATGTTTTTGTTGTTCTTGCCGTGAGACACATGTGCGAGACGCAGCAAAAAAAAAAAACTCACATTGCTTGAGCATATCATTTTTTTTTTTATGTATTCTTCTTATTATAAAAACCGTTAATGCCAAATTGGGCAGTGCCTTTCTTCTTCTTGATTTTAGTTCTATATTTTACTTCTGTATTTTATTTTCTATTTTAATTTTTGTAATTTCGTATTTCAATTTTGTATTTTATTCGGTATTTTATTTGGTATTACATTCGGTATTTTATTTCTTATTTTATTCGGTATTCTCTTTTGTATTTTAATTTGCTATTTTAATTTGTTTTTTCAATTTGGTATTTCAATTTTGTATTTTAATTTCGTATTTCAATTCGGTATTTTAATTCCGTATTTTAATTTGGTATTTCAATTCGGTATTTCAATTTTGTATTTTAATTTGGTTTTACAATTTAGTATTTTAATTTGGTTTTACAATTTAGTATTTTAATTTGGTTTTACAATTTAGTATTTTAATTTGGTTTTACAATTTAGCATTTTAATTTGGTTTTATAATTTAGTATTTTAATTTGGTTATACAATTTAGTATTTTAATTTGGTTTTACAATTTAGTATTTTCATTTTATTATTTTAACTGATATTTTCTTTGGTTATTTAAACTGGTATTTTATTTAGTATTTTAGGTATTTGGTATTTTAAATTGAAATTTGTTATTAGAAATCTCTTTTTTTTTGCAGGTGGTATTCACTTGGTCCGGGTACGACGACGAGACGATAGGGTTAAGTCGCGTGTCTCGGATTGCCCGAAGCGAGTATAGTATAAGGGTATAGAGAGCAGGAAGTAAAAGGAAGCGAGCCAGGCAGACTGGCCGAGCACAGCCAGCTTAGCCGAAGGAAGCGTCTCGTCAGACGCACGAGACTCCCGCGCGGAGTCCAACGTTCCGCCTCACTGCCGGGCTCACTGCAGGCTGTGACGCACCATCCCCTTCTACCTCTGCTGTTTCTACCTCCGCCTCCCTGCTCCCGCGCTGCGGCGACCACCTTCGCAACCCCCTCCCTTACGCCGCTCCGTGGTGTATATTCACCCAGAGTGCCTCTCTCTCTCTTCCCCCTCTCTCTCACTTTATCTAACTGAAGACAGAACCGTCGGGGGAGGAAATCACCCCCCCCCCCCTAGATAAAGACAGAGGGTTGAATCTCCTCAGTCAGACAAAGATAGAGAGAGAGACAGTTCGGGGGGTGAATTTCCACACAGACAAGAACAGAGAGAGGGTTGCAACCCTTCAGTTAGATAAGGACAGAGAGAGGGAATCTCTCTAGTAAGACAAGGATAGTGAGGGTTTGAATCTCTCAAGTTAGAAAAGGATGGAGGATAGTGAGAGGAGAAGGTGGAAACTGAAAATTCACCCTTTCCTCTCCTCTCTCAACGGCTCTTTCACCTACGAATCCCTCAAGTACGTACACGAGACGTGTACGGAACAGCAGCGGCCGGGCCAACGCCGCACACCTGCCGCCTGCGCTGTAACCAGCGAGCACTGCCGGTGCATGCACATACGCCATAGCACAACTATATACTGCATACCGAAAGCACGCACCAACACTATAAGCGTCTATCCAAGTAGAAATGAGAGTCGTGTCAATTAATGCCAATGATTTTTTTTTTCTCTTTTTCACTCTCCTTCGCATATATACTCTCTCGCTCACTCTCTCTCTCTCTCTCTCTCTCTCTCGTGGGAGAAAAAAATCTCATTCCAAAAAGATATCACACAAAATGGAGAAAAATGAATTACATAGTGAATTTAATTTTTATTCTTGGTTAGTTGACGAGAATTAATTTTTGTATTTAATATTTTTAAAATCAAAATTAAGTTAAATTCAATAATAAAATCTTTTTAATTCAAACATTATTATTTTTATTCAGGGTGTCTACAACATCCGGAAAATGTCGGGGAAATTAAAAATGTCCTGGAAAACCGGGAAATGTAAGGGAATTTTTTTCATCATGACTTGAAATACCTATTGAATAATATTTTTAATGCCCACAATTAATTTTACAAAATTATTAGTAAAAAATTAGTAGTAATAATAATATTTATTGCCTTTCCAATTTGCAATTCTATTCTATTTTGATAAATAATATGAACCACAGACATATAATCAAATAGAAAAACATTGACCACTTCAAATTCTGAAAGATCAAAAGAAAAGCAGAAATATTGGAATTGGAAAAATTCGTTTCGTAAAATAAGTCAATTTGCTTTTAAAATACATAATTCAGGGCTCGAACTAGGTCCGTAAATCCCGTAAAGGTCCGTAAAAGTCAGTTTTTTTAAGAAAAAAGGTCCGTAATTTGATTGAAAAAGGACGAAAAGATTGTAAATTGTACGACATAATTTGGGGAATTTTAGAGAAATTACAAATGATTGTAAAAATTCAATAATTTTCAAAAGTAATAACATTCTTCGCAGATAAATTCAATTATGTTTAAAAATTAAAAAAAATTTTCGTCAAAATTTCAATTATTTTTAGAAATAATAAAATTCTTCTTCAAAGAAGAAATTTTAGAGAAATTACAAATGATTGCAGAAATTCAATTATTTTCAAAAGTAATAAAATTCTTCTCAGAAATTCAATTATTTACAAAACTTCTTTTAAATTCTCGTCAAAATTCCAATTATCCTTCACGGTGGTCTTGAAACATTTTAAATACTTTTCACACATGCCCTTTCCAATTTTTGCATAAAATCTTTCCACACCACCTACAGAATTGAATTTAACTTATAAATCAAAATCGCGTATTGGGCCGATTTTTTTTAAACTTCCTTAGGTGTTATGAAGGGGGGAAGAAAAATAAAAAAACTCATTTTTTCTGAAAGTACTTAACCGATTTGAATGGAATTTAAATATGTTATAAATATAGATATAGGACAATTTAAAAAAAAAAAATTTCAAAACTTTTTCAAAAAAAAATTTTAAAGAAATTAATTTTAAAAGTTTAAAAAAAAATTTTATTTTTTTAATGATACACCTCCAATTTTTCTTTTAAAAAATGGCTGAGAGTTTCCTCTTTAATATCTATTTTTTCCAGATTTTTAAAAAATGTAGTTTTTCAAAAAATGACTTTTTTGGAAAAAAAACGCAAAAAGTCATTTTTTTCGGAAACTACTTAACCGATTGAAATGAAATTTAAATGTGTTATAAACATAAATAAAACAATTTAAAAAAATATTTAAAAATTTTAAAAAATAGTTCTAAATTTTTAAAAATTAAAACTACATTTTTAAAAAATCTGGAAAAAATATATATTAAAGAGGAAACTCTCAGATAATTTTTTTAAAAGAAAAATTGGAAGCGTATCAATAAAAAAAACAAAAAAATTTTTTTTTAAATTTCAAAATTGATTTCTTTAAAATTTTTTTTGGAAAAAAATTTTGAAATTTTTTTTTTAAATTGTCTTATATCTATATTTATAAAATATTTAAATTCCAGTCAAATCGGTTAAGTACATTCCGAAAAAAATGAGTTTTTTTATTTTTCTTCTCCCCTCCATCACTTCTAAGGAAGTTTAAAAAAAATCGGCTCAATATGCGATTTTGATTTAAGTTAAATTCAATTCTGTAGGTGGTGTGGAAAAGTTTTCTGCAAAAATTGGAAAGGGCAATAATTCAATAAATTATTTATTTTTGTATTTAAATAATTGAATTCTAATAAAAATAATACATTTATTTGTGGATATCTTCAAATTGCAAAATTATTCAAATCATCACGTTCTTCTTTTCAATAAATATTTAATCATTTTATTATTTTTTCCCACAAATTATAATTTTCTAAATTTTCGAATTTTTAAACCTTCTTATATTCAATTATTTTTAAAAATAGCAAACACAATTCTTCAAAGTTCAATTATTTTTTAAATTTTTAAGTAAAATTATTCATAAATAATTTATAAATAATAATTTTTTAAAAGTTCATCAGGAATTAAGTTATTTAAAATAAATTTTCAATAATTTTTACAAGATTCCCTGACTTTTCTCTGATTTGAATTTTCCATATTTAAAACAATTAAAAGTTGCAATTAATTAAAAATGACAATTTTTTATCAATAAAAAACGCTTTAGGCAACGTAATATAAAATTTAACCAACCTTCTAGATTTAAATTAGTAAAAGAAATTCACTATTTTGAATTTGTGGCTGACTTTTTGGTTTTGAATTATATTTAGTAAACTTTATTAATAAATAGTAATTTCTACTAATTTATTAGTAAAATTTACGAATTAAAAAGCAAAACCAAAGAAATAGTAATTTCTACTAATTTATTAGTAAAATTTACTAATTTAAAAGCAAAAAGTAAAATAAATAATTCACTCCTTTTTTTCTCGTCAATTTTTTTAAATTATCGCAATTACATTAAATTTTCATAAACATAACTAAAAATTCTCAATGTGCTCTGTTTCCAGAAAAAAAATAATTGGGAGAGAGAAAAAGAAAGAGAAAATCGGATAATCCTGCTCTACGTCTGAACATTTCATATATAATATCAGAAATATACGGTACAATTTTTAGTCATATATCAACTTTTATGTCGTTCAATGTTTTCATCCGATGAAACTTATAAAAATTATGAACGCTCTTAGAGTCAATTAGCTAGATAGAAAATCTTGTCTAGCCACATTAGAACGATTACAATCTTTTGTACAGAAATTGTTAAAGGGTAAATCTTATCTTTTCAGAAATAAATATAAACGTCCATTCCTTTTTTAAAATCTATAATTCTCCTTTTAAATTAAATTCCAAAACGTTACTTTTTATTACCAGATTCACTATATAATACGTAATCTATTATAGTCGAATAACTTTGGACATTTAATTCCAACCATTACCAGACAGATTTTGCATTTCTTTTTCTTTTTACAATTTAACAATTTTATAATTTTACAATTTAATTAAGAAGTATTTCTAATTAAAAATTGAAAATTACACTCTACTAAAAATTAATATTTCTAATATCTCTAAACTTCTAAACGTTCAAATGAAACGAAATTTATATTCATTTCTTCTTCAAATATTGAATAAAATTACCTAAATTATAAAAAAAAAGGTTATGAAGTCTCTAAATGTAAAATTTAAGTTACTAATTTTTATTTCAATTAGTAATTTTTTAGAATTACTTTTGCAGAATTTTTTTTTTTGAAAATTCAATAATTTAAAATTTTTAATAAAAAATATTC